GATTATTTCGTCATCAAGATGATGATTTAAGGTCCAGGATAGGTAGCACTCATTTACAGCTCGACCAGGGGATTACGCTAAGAGAGAGGTAAGAAATCTTGCCGCAGCTCCAGAATTTCTTACCGGGCTCATTTCGGATCATGGTGATTCGCAATGTCATGAAAGAAATGAATATTGTCGCGGTACGAGGGCTCTTGACGAGCTGCCTCGGCCAGCTTCTGGAGTTCCACAGCCTAGGCCTCTACCTACACAATGGTGCCCATAACGAAGAATTGTAGTGGAGCTTCTGTAAGAGCCCTACCTGTAATGGAGTGTGAGGGACGCTGCTGGCTTCTTATAAAAATATCAAAAGATCGAAAGCGCTGGTAAAGGTGAAACACGCTGTAGCGGTGAACGGCATGCCTATTGAAGCTATTGCAGATAGTGTCAGGTCGTTGACACGAATCCATAGTTTTGGAGACATTTGTACTAGACAGTGACTCGGAGTACGGATTTACTAGTGGTCGAGGTTTTTTGAATTTTCTTGGATAACTACTGACTGCAGCACTTATATCCACCTCGTGGATTGAAGCCTCGAGAATGCTCTACCATTTGTTAGTCATAAATGTTACCTATGAATTTTTCAGAAAAAAAGAAAATTTTAGAAAGAGTGTTGCAGAACTTTCTTTCCAACCTAATATTTAAACTTGCTCTTGCTAGAATCGGAGACCGGCGATATCTCTGAACTGGGTACATTATTGCCAATGATGGGAAAAATATTCATTTTTGAAAACGATGGGGAACACTCACACGGGAAACAGGTGAAACTCCAGTCGGGGTGGGGCACAGGGTCAATCCTATGTTGCGCGACAAGTACCAACGGGGGGGGGGGGTCGTATTTGTTGAGATTGTAGGTGGGGGGGGTCGTATTGTAATCTTAGAATTCATGGGTGAGTTTAGGGCGTGTAGTGTGAAGGAGCGAGAAGAGGGGGTCGTGAAAAATTTCGGAAAAGTCACAAAGGTAGGACCGACCCTGGATGGGGCACTCCCTGTCATCTTATCAGTACTAGAGAGCACTCCTTTGGGCTTTACCACTATGGATAAGATTATAGGTAAACG